TAGATATAGATATAGATATAGATATAGATATAGATATAGATATAGATTATAGAGAGGGTGGAGGGGGGGAAGGCTTGTTGTCTTTATAAACTGCCCAGAGTCATTAAGAATGAGTTGGGTGGCCACATACATTTTCATAAATTTTGATAAATAAATGAATAACACAGAGGGAATTAAACCGATCTAGTTCCAGATCTAGAGTTCTGTATCTTGGAACTTCTGGACTTCTGACTTTCAGAATTCCAGATTTTGGGAATAAATGCCAAGAAAGCTTGCATAGGTAGTCCTCAATAGACAACAGTTCATTTAGTGACCGTTCAAAGTTACAACAGCACTGAAAAAAGTGAATTATGACCGTTTTTCACACATACAACCATTGCAGTATCCCCATGGTCATGTGATCAAAATTCAGATGCATGGCAACTAACTCATATTTATAACCTTTGCTGTGTCCCAAGATCATGCAATCACCTTTTGTGATCTTCTGACAAGCAAAGTCAATGCGGAAACCAGATTCACTTAACAACTGTGTTACTAAGATAAAAACTGCAGTGATTCACTTAACAAATGTGGTAAGGAAGGTTGCAAAATGGGGCAAAATTCACGTAACAAATGTTTCACTTAGCAACAGAAATTTTGGGCTCAACTGAGCTCTTAAATAGAGGACTACCTGTAGTCCTACAAGACTCACATGACATGGAAATAAATCCAAAAAGAGAACTTGAACCGGTGCCTTTATATTTTCCAATATTCTATGTGTTATAGAGATAGCGACTGCAGACTCAAAAAAAAAAAAAATCCAACCACAGCTGCCTTATCATTAGGGAACATTTCAAGTAAGCGATGCTGGGCTCCCTTATTTTAAAATTCTACTACATCAGAATATCAATTATTAAGAGTAAGTTAATACCACACCCCCATTCTTGTAGCAATTCCAAAGTAACTTTCAGTTGCACCTTGAGGCAAGAAGTTGAACAGTTTTTTTAAAAAAAGAAGTCCCTTTGATCATATGTTTATTAGATCAAAGCAATTGTACTGTGTGCTTCAGCTAGAAATTACAGAAACTAATGAATATTTTGACATAATGTTGGCATAATGAACCAATAAAGATATATTTCTTGAAATGACTTCCTAAAAGAAAGATGATACAGTTTATGACAGAACATTTTAAAAACATACTATGGTTCTAAAATATTTCACGCATAAAAATTATCAACCTATGGGCAAACTCAGCCCAGGCTATTACAACTCATTAATTAATGAGTGTACAATGCCAAGAAGACCGGTATGGCCCATTTTGGAAAAGAACTACTTAAGTCAAGAAAGTCAGACTGTTTTCTAATATGAAACAAATATGTCACTTAGCCATCTCCCCCCTCCCCCAGGAACAAGCAATGAAATAGAGTAGAGAGAGGTCATAAGAGATATTTCAGCAATGGAAGATAAATGCGTAATGATAAGTCCCATGGAATCAAGCAAGATGTTGATCACATAACATTTTGATTTTAGCAAACTTCATTACTGATTTTTCAGTCCAGTGGAATCAACTAAGACCCATTTTCTAATGTTAATATACAAGGATTGGAATAGGTGGTATCAATAGATTATATGCAATAGATTATGACCACAAATCTATATTTGCTGTCACACACACACACATATATATACAATACAAAGTGCAAATATAAGGCAAAAGAATTGTAAACATCAAGTCCAGGGTTATATTATTTGGGTTACATTATCTTCTATGCACAGTAGAAGATAAATGCTTTCTCCAATGGCCACTTCATGTCATTGATTCCCAACGTATTGAGATTAAGAACAGATTAACAAATCTTGCATATCACCAAAGTCACACATTTATGAATGCAACAGCATTAGGTTTTGACTGATAGTACAAATGATTTTATATACATTATCAACATTGTAAGCAAACCTTCATTTCCAATTTAGAATTGGTTTTTTTTAATTTGCCTATAATTATTTTCTTTCAAACAGTGGAATTTATTCACAGCTCTGAGACATCAGATTGCCGTTCACTCGTACACCTTCCATCTTCAGGTTGCTTGGACTTGTACTAGGTAGAAGAGAAGGAAAAGATTGGATGTTAACATTTGTATTTCTCTGTGACCTTATTGTAAGCAATCGTTTCAGGATTGACTTTACTTTCTGTGAAGTAAGAACATTATATGAGAAAAAATATATTTTTCACCCTTCTCACAATAGCTGGCTTTTGGAAGAAAGGGATTAGGGAAGACATGATAACTGTCTTCCAGTACTTGAGGGACTATGACAGAGAAGAGGGGATTGATTTATTCTCCAAAACACAAGAGGGCAGGACAAAAAGTAATGGGTGGTTAATGAGAGATCCAACCAATAGGTAAGGATAAATTTTCTGACGGTGAGAACAATTAATCAATGGAGTAGCTTGGGTGCCAGTTGTGGATGCTCCATCAATAGATGTTTTCAAAAACAGACTAGACAACCATTTGACTGGGATGATTTGAGATGGGCATTAGAGCAGAAGATCTCTGAAGTCCCTTCCAGCTCTATAAAATAACAGAGTTGGAAGGGACCCTGGAGGTTTTCTAGTCCAACCCTCTGCCTAGGCAGGAATTGTACACCACTTCAGACAGATGGTTATCCAACATCTTCCAGTAATGGAGCATTTACAAATTCTGGAGGCAAGTTGTTCCACTGATTAATTGTTCTAACTTAAGAAATTTATCCTCAGTTCTAAGTTGCTTCTCTCCTTGATTAGTTTCCACCCATTGCTTCTTGTCCTACCCTCAGGTGCTTTGGAGAATAGCTTGACTTCCTCTTCTTTGTGGCATCCCCTGAGATATTGGAACACTGCTATCATGTCTCTCCTAATCCTTCTTTTCATTATGATTCTATGGTCTATAATATGCTCTATGTTCAGATAGAATTTGGAAAGCAATGAATAAATTACAGACTTGGAAGGATACCTTTTAAAGCAGAGCAATCATAGTTAACAGAAAAATCCACTGAAGTCTAGAGAAGAGGCTTTTTTTGGATAAAAACAAGAATACTTTGATAATTTTAGAGACCTGATGAAAGTTGCCTCAGAGATGCATCCCTGATATCCCACCAGGATTAGGAAGCTAAGAGGCTCTTTTGGTTACTCTGCTAATTTCCTCAAGGTAGTTGAACAAATGTCAGAGTAATCCCATTGGGTTTGGAGGCAATCAGCAGGTTCAATGGCTTCTTTTCTTGAAAGAGCTACATTATTGTAAAAAGCCTGAATGGACTCAAATTATACGTGTCTAATTAGGTGACTGGTGTATTTAAAGTTAGTTCTTCCTGTTAAGGAAATATTTAAGAAGAGAGATTTGTTCATCCTCTTCCTGCAAGCTACAGGTAGTTCTCAACTTATAACAGTTTGTTTAGTGACCGTTCAAAGTTACATCTTCATTGAAAAAAAGTGTTTTATGACCATTTTTTACACTCATGACCATCGTAGCATCCCTTGTCCTGTGATCAAAATTCAGATGCTTGGCAACTGACTTATATTTATGATGATTGCAGGGTCCCGGGATTGTGTAATCACTTTTTGCAATCAAGCAAGCAAAGTCAATGGGGAAGCCAGATTCATTTAACAACCATGTTACTAACTTCGCAGCTGCAATGATTCACTTAACAACTGTGGCAAGAAATATCGTAAAATGGGATAAACTTAGTTTATAAATGTCTTGCTTTTGTTAAAAATGTTAAAACTGTAAAAACACAGCTAAAAAGAGATAATTTACTGTACAATCAGGCCAGAAACATTAACACAGAAGATCAGAGCAGCAAAAAGAAGCTACTCTGAAAAGCTAAGGAACTAGTTATCAACAAATGAACCAGCAAACATGTGGAAAACGCTTTAAAATATCACCGATTACAGCAAACCACCTTCCCAGGCTGAAGGAAATCAGCAACTGGCAGATGACCTGAATGTGTTTTATTGCAGGTAAAGAGAAAACTACTGCCACCCATCTCCACAATCCCCATCTCAGACACACCTACAACAGCCAAGCATCCTACAACTGACCCCATCCCATCAGGCCCACCATTTTACAGAAAATGAGATGCAAGGTTTATTTCACAGACAGAAGCCAGGAAAAGCACCAGGCCCACACAAGATAATTCCTTCTTGCTTAAAAGCTTGTGCTGACCAACTGGCCCCCATCTTCACCCGCATCTTTAACAAATCACTAGAGATGTGCTATGTTCCTTTTTGCTTCAAACACTCTACTATCATCCCTGTGCCAAAGAAACCCTCAATCAAGGAACTGAATGACTTCAGACTGGTTGCTCTAACATCTGTAGTTATGAAAACCTATGAAAGATTAGTGCTGGCCCACCTGAAAACCATCATGGATCTGTTGTTAGATCTCTTGCAATTTGCCTACCGAGCAAATAGATCAATGGGTGATGCTGTTAATATGACTCTACACAACATCCTACAACATCTTGAATCTCCAAAGATCTATGCAGGGGTCCTCTTTGTAGACTTCAGTTCAGCATTAAATACCATCATTCCAGATATTCTTCTAACTAAACTAAATCAGCTAGCTGTACCTGACCACATTTGTAAATGGATCATAAGCTTCCTAACAGACAGGAAGCAGCAAGTGAAGCAGGCAAAATCATGCCAGATACCTGTACAATTAGCACAGGGGCCCTCCAGGGCTGTGTGCTTTCTCCACTTCTCTCTATACACCAATGACTGCATCTCAAAAGATCAATCTGTTAAAGTACTGAAGTCTGCAGATGATACAACAGTTATTGGTCTCATTCTAGATAATGATGAATCTGCATACAGACGGGAGGTTGAACAACTAGCCTTGTGGTGCAACTGGAACAATCTTGAACTAAATACACCCAAAACCGTAAGAATGATAGTAGATTTTAGGAGAAACCCTCCTATACTACCACCTCTTACAAGACAACAAGGTATCAACACTAGAGACCTTTGAGTTTCTAGGTTCTATCATATCTCAAATCGATACCTAACATCAAAAACATCATCAAAAAAGCACAACAAATAATGTCCTTTCTCCACCAACTCAGAAAGCTCAAACTGTCCAAAAAGCTGCTGATTCAGTTCTACAGAGGAATTACTGAGTCTGTCATCTACACCTCTATAACTATCTGGTTTGGCTCTGCAACCAAACAAGACAGACACAGACTTCAATGGATAATTAGAACTGCAGAAAAACAATTGCTATCAACCTGCCTTCTATTGAGGACGAATCAAAAAGAGGGCTGTGAAAATATTTACAGACCCCCTCACATCCTGGACATACAGGTGAAACTCGAAAAATTAGAATATCGTGCAAAAGTTCATTTATTTCAGTAATGCAACTTAAAAGGTGAAACTTATATATGAGATAGACTCATTACATGCAAAGCAAGATAGTTCAAGCCGTGATTTGTCATAATTGTGATGATTATGGCGTACAGCTCATGAAAACCCCAAATCCACAATCTCAGAAAATTAGAATATTACATGCAATCAATAAAACAAGGATTGCACATAGAACAATCTTGTTGCTTGTATCTTTAAAATTTATATTGTTTTATTTTTTCCTAGTATGATTTGATTGCTTATTAGTAAGTTATGTTTATCATTATGTGTTGTATCTTATGAATCATGATAAATGTATTTTTTTTATTTACAATGAAAGAATATGTACCAGAGACAAATTCCTTGTGTGTCCAATCACACTTGGCAAATAAAGAATTCTATTCTATTCTATTCTATTCTATTCTATTCTACTCTACTCTATTCTATTCTATTCTATAATGGGTGAGTGGAGTTTAATAATAACAGAGTCACATCACTAATGCCTGATTTCTAGCATCCCCAGGCTAGATGTACAATCAGGTCTTACGGGACCTTCAGAAAATTAGGAGCAATGGTGCCAACTTAACCTTGGGGAGAACAATATTCTACAATGCAGGCGTGGCAGTTGAGAAAGCTCACTGCCAAATGTAGCTCCCTATATAATTGAACCCACAGCATGCCCTCTCTACTGGATTTGGAGACGGGAAGATGTAAGTAATTAATAGATGGCGTTAAGTAATTTATTCCCTCTAATTAGTTATCAGGATTCTTACTTGGAATGCAGCATCTGGAGAGAGGAGCAGTAATATTTATTTCCCCAGCACAGCCAGAACAGAAGTGTTTCCCCAATGCAAAGTTAGATGACCTTCCTAAAAATATTTATTACTGCAACACCAAAGGAAGCTATATATAAAACAGCATTTGCAAAATGCAAATTTAGAAAGAGGAGCAAAGATGGGCTTTGGTTCACATCTCTGAGGGATAGATAGGAAAATGTAAATATAACCAGAGAAGCAGATAGGATATGCATACTACAGATCACATTAAAAAACTATTGTTTTGCCTCTATGGTAGGCTCTGTACTTGGGAAGTCTCAAAAATAATCTCAGGTTCTGGATTCTAGAATGAACAGAACAATCCTACATATTCAGGACAACATTTCCATCTCAGCTTGGTCTAAAATTGTCTGCAAGATTGACAAGAGAGAACTGAGAAATAGCCTTCCAGTTTCCTGCTGGGACTAATTTATTCCCTATATTATACAATGGGAAAAAAAAATCAAAGTTTCAAGCTAGCATATATTTTCATTAAATTAGGCGCAATTTATTTTTGAATGAACCCTTGAGGAATCAAAATGCAATGCTGATGCACTGAAATTCTGTCTCTGGAGAACTAACATAAAAATATTTCTTGTAGTTAATGCTCAATCTGTATGTTTTTAACAAATCGATATGCTGAGAGATATATTAGGTGTCAAGGTGTCCTGAATCATCTTTGGTTAAATTAGTATGATGGCATCAAATAAACACCCCAACTGTGTCAATCAATCAGCTGACAGTGCTTCTTACCATATTATATAATTGATATAATAATTGCAACAATCTATCGGGAGTGCTTTAAAATGATAATACAGTCATCATCTATGAAAACTGAAGCACAGCCTAGTCAAAAATAATGTGACACTCTATAGTTCCAAAATATTCAGCATTGTGATCAGATGGCATGGACTAAGAAGCATATTTTGTACTAAAAAAATCATGTAAACCCATTGCTATCCAATAGAAAATAAAATAAACAAAAAAAAAAAAACCCTCCAAAGTCAAGGATTACAGATATAGTCCTCGATTTACAATAGTGACCATTTGAAGTTACTGAACAAAGTGACTTATGACCATTTTTCAAACTTATGACCACTGCAGCATCCCCATGATTACATGATCAAAATACAAATGCTGGGCAATTGACTCATGTTTATGACAGTTGCATTGTCCTGGATTCATGTGATCACTTTTTGTGAACTTCTGAAAAGCAAAGTAAAAGGGGAACCCATATTCACTTAACAACCATATTACTAACTTAACAACTGCAGTGTTCACTGTCGCAAGAAAGGACATAAAAGGGGACAAAATTCATTTAACTGTCTTGCTTAGCAACATTTTGGGGACAAATGTAGTCATAGGTCTAAGTCATAAGTCTGAAGTCATAAGTTGTAAGTCGACTTGTATTACAGTGTAGATTTTGAAAGATCTAATTTTTATCACTTTAAGTAGATACAATACTGTAGGCCAACATGAAATGTGTAGGCTGCTTACAAATGTTAAGTTTGAGTGCCTAAAAACTGAACAGAAACACTGACACTTACTATTGTTTTGAAGAGCTGGTTCACTTTCTTCCTTTTTAGAGTTTTCTTTTCTGTTTCCAAGATGGGTGGAATGCTTGTCTGACTGATTTTCTGTGACACATTTGTTTCTTCCAGTGTTGGGCATATGGATAGAGTTAAAGCTTCAAAACAGTGCAGAAAAATAGTCAAGATAAAATTGCAAAATGGAATCCATATCAGTAAATTGCACAAACAAGATAGATAGATAGATAGATAGATNTACATCATCAGTTTCTCTCCCTCCCTCTCTGGTAGTGTGTGTGTGTGTGTGTGTGTGTGTGTGTGTGTGTGTGTGTGTGTGTGTTACAAATAGGTCTAAAGCTTAAATTTTCACAGAAATGGTTAACTCTGACTAGAATGTACTAATCTATGTGAATATTCACATGATAGAATATCCTTCAAATATATCCCTCACAGAAGCCTGGGCATGAAGAGAAATGTTCTGCTACTTTAGCATTGTCCCTGAGATCTTTAAGTCAGTGACAAAAATAATAGATTTAATATATCAAGTTAGAGCCATTCTGTGGGAATTTATAAGATACATTTCATCATTCTGCTACCGGCAACTCCTTCAGCATTAGAAAGTGAGCATTTCCACTGATGCAGCCATCATCTTTGCTATCTTTTTATGTTATGCAAAATATGACTGCAGTGTTTCCATTTTTGCACCAGCATGTAGAAGCAGTTCCTATTTCTGGCCTTGAAGAAAACCATTTTTCAATTAGGCTTCTTTGAAGCTACATGCTGATATAGGAACTATTTCCTGTAATCATGGTGGCACAGTGGTTAGAATGCAGTACTGCAGGCTACTTCTGCTGACTACTGGCTGCCAGTAATTTGGAGTTCGAGTCTCACCGGTTCAAGATTGACTCATCCTTCCATCCTTCCAAGGTGAGTAAAATGAGGACCCAGATTGTTGGGGGAAATAGGCTGTCAGTGAAAACCACTTAGAAAGGGCTATGAAGTATAGCTAACAGATAGCTAACCAGTCAGTATTTCATGGGAGTATTTATTACAAAGGCACTCTAGACATCTAGAGTTTGGAAACAGGAAAAGAATAAGACTTTCTCCCAGTCTATCAGACCATGTTCACAAACTCAGCTAGATGAACCATTTATTTGAGACATGAATGATGAAATCTTAGGAGGCAATTGCTGGGATCACTCATACAAATAATAAAAACATCAGCTGAATTGTGATGTACAAGTATCCAGATGAATTTTGACATTTATCGGTTATGACAAATATACATTGCCTACTTTTCTGGGGGGTTTTTTCAGCACTATATTAAATAGTCTCCTCTACCACAAGCACATTACATTTTATTTCTCTGTCTGTTTTAAATGTCTATTTCATGGAACAAAATTTCTTGTATGAATAAAGTGACAAATCTTTGTATAAGTAATCCTCGACTTACAATCACAATTGAACCTCTGTGGCTAAGTGAGACATTTGTTAAGTGAGTTTGGCCCCATTTTATGACCTTTCTTGCCACATTTCTTAAGCGAATCATTGCAACCACTAAGTAACACAGTTGTCAAGGGAACCTGGTTTCCTCATTGACTTTGCTGACCAGAAGTTGCAAAAGGAGATCACATGACCTTGGGACACTGCAATGGTCATAAATATGAACCAGTTGCCACACATTTGAATCTTCCTCAAATGATCATGGGGATGCCACAAAGGTTGTAATGTGAAAAATGGTCATTATTCACTTTTTCCATGCTTTGTAACTTCAAATGATCACTAAATGAATTGTTGTAAGTCGAGGACTATCTACATATTGTTCAGAAGTGTTAACATGAGTTTAAGTACATGAAACAGAAAGAACGTTTCCCAAGATACATGCTGATGTTCTCCCCACCACCACCAAACACCCCCCCCCCCTATATTCAAAGACAAGAAGGATTTTAAAATATTTGAATACTAGGCAATGTAGGTTTTGCCTTCATGAGAATATATAGTCTAGATTCAAAAGATGCTGAAACTGCTCATGTATTATTTAATTTCTGGCAAAATTACATAACATAACAGCGTTGTTGTTATTTTGAAATGAACAGGAGTGAATTTTATCGTTTTTAAAAAATTAATGATAGCGTAAAACTGCAGAGCTTTCACTTTCTTAATTAACTTACCTGGTATGGTTGGCATAGAACGGCTGGCAAAACTCATTTGCTTGAGAAGAACAGATGTTTTCTGAGGGACATCCAGATGTTCAGAAAGGTTGGTATCACTCATAAATTCATATTTTCTTGACAGCTGCACAGTCGTAACAACAACAAGCCAAAGTGTAAAATTCAAGAAAGGAAATTGTTTGGTTTTAATGGGTTACTTTTTAATATATAAGATAAAATAGTTACAATCTGATTGTGCAGTAATATTTATTTCCAATTGTGCGAAGGGAGTGCTACTGAATTGGAGGTTATCAAAAAGAAACTGTTCCTGGATAATGCAGGAAAGTCAGTTATGTATTAAGTAAACATAAGTCACTGTCAGTTATTGACCTAAGGATGCCATTTAGGGCCCTAAATTTAACTGGAATTATTCTGTTAAAAATGAATAGAATTTGAATTGTGCCCTAAGAGCATAATCAGTTTGGAGTTTCCATTCATCTTTTTTTAATGCTAATAAAACTTGCTCAAAGGTACAGAAGGAAAAAAAGGGAAATAAAATATAATCTATACTAGATAGAGATAATTTGTAGTTGTCTAGTTGTTTTGGACTAACGATCATATCAGCTGTCACTCACTGCATTTGCTAGAGATCATGGAAACTGAAGTACAAAATATCTTCATAGCGGTAGCACCAGAATGCCAATGCCCCTCCAGTTTCTCTCTCTCTCTCTCTCTCTCTCTCTCTCTCTCTCTCTCTCTCTCTCTCCTCTCTCTCTCTCTCTCTCCTCTCTCTCTCTCCCTCCCTCCCTCTCTCCCTCTCTCCCTCCCTCCCTCCACACAAATTAACTCTAGTAATTTTACTACTTTATTATATCAAGGGTCTATTTCTACATTAGACTTGGCTAGGTATAAAAACTATTAAATGATTTTAAAAAAATAGACATGCATAAGATCATGGTATGAAAACATTTCAGAATGAATTCAATCGTGCTGCTTGAATATAAAAATATTATGAGATATGATAATATTAAAAACTGGCAGTTTACAGGTAATCAAAGAAATATACTTCTTCTAATGTCATTAGGCAGCAAGTAAATGTAACAAATAATAATATTAGGAAAGTATGTTTCTCTCTCTCTCGTACACACACAGAAAGAGAGGAAGGGAGGGAGAGAGACAGACACATAGAGAGAGAGAGACAGAGACAGAGACAGAGAGGTGGGGGGGGGGAGAATTTTAGAAGCATTTGTTATGATTGTCCTATGTACCTTTAGCCAGACTATGGTAGATAACTAGGTTTATGTGTTTTTTTTAAATAGTTCAGATTCTAAAATGAAATATAAGTCATTCTAAAACCCTTCCATTGTGACAATAAGTGAAAAGTATGGAGGGCGGTTATGGAAGATGTACTCATAAATATACTTGATATGTTTTTGATATCAAAAAGTTGATTTTTCTATTTTTTTTCAATTCTAAATTTCATAATTCAATGAAGAAGTGACATAAGGACCCATGTTTAATTCTTTTCAAACTCTTCAGGACAGCACATACTGATTATTAACAATTCATGCCACTATAATTTCAGAAACAAAAACAAAAAAATTCTAATCCTAGAATTTAAAATAGCATAAAATTTTGAATGCTTTGTTTTTATATTTTGGGCAACCATAAAAGAGATTCAATTTACTCCTGGTCTTAAAAAATAGATAGGGTAATGTTTCTGATAAACAGCTGTTGTGATGGTGTAATGCATATTTTGCTATAATTCTTCTAAAGGATCTGTGATTTAAACTGATCTTCAGGTAGTTCTACTTTTTTGGCAGCAAACAAAATTGGATGAAACTTCTTCACTGAACTGATGTAGATACTCTCTTGTATAAAAATGACATTGCATTTTTAATACTCAGAATCCATTTCCCCCTGCTAGGTTTGCCATAAAATTTTGCAGTGAAAGTTACATAAATTCAGGCTGATGATATATTAGCGTGATCAAAGTGCTCAGATGATAAATAGCACCAAAGAAGATGCCAGTGAGGTATCTCTTTGCTCTGTTTATGGCATAGTTAGCAAAGTTGTGGTATCGTAACAAGATATTTTGTTTCTTTAACAAAGTGAGCATTTATTTATCTTGAAGGAACCTCAGCTGAGCTGGAGGCCATAGATGTGCAGCCAGCTGTTCCCCTCCAGATTGCTTAAGCAATCTCCCACCCAGCATCTGCCCTTATATCAGGCAACAGATTAACCCAGAGAATGTCAACTCCAGGGCTGATTCTCTGACTGTGTTAAACAGAGTGATGCAGCTTCACAACATGCTAGATGGTCACCTGACCAAATTGGCTGTTGGAATCTTAAATAAATAAATACAAGATTTATTTATTTGTTTAAAGGCCACAGATTGGTTAAAATGTGCCTAATATGAAAGATACCAAAATTACCCTGTTAACAATAACTTACACATTTCATATCAGGAAGGTCAGAAGATTTTTTGTCTGGCAGTATGACGCTGCTTCGCTTTTCTTTCTTCCGGCCTTTCCTCATTTTCACTTCAGGCTGCCTGCTTATGGAACGGCTATTTTCTTCTGACACAGATTCGGTTGCCTTGGGTGACATGACTTCGAGTTCAAAGCTGCCGATGTAAATGGAAACAAATTAATTAACTTAATTAATCTGCCCACAGCAGCCTCTGCTGTTCCCTTGCAGAGGCTCTTTGCAATATGGCAAATCCAATGACATAAGGCAGTTCCAGAGGGAAAGAAGGAATTGGAAATCCTAGCAGTGGAAAACTAGTTAGGGAAAACATTACAACGACCAAGTCTTTTCTTTTTAATACTGGCATTCATTCCTGATGAAAACAGGAACTGACAACCAAAGGAGGTAAGAGTTCATTTGAGGGCATGTTTATAATAGGCATGGAATGGAATAAATAAGAAAACAAAGGGAAATTAATATTGATTGATTGATTGATTTAATCAAAGTTGTCTGCCACCTATCTTGCTAGGTAGCTTACAGACATTGACTCCAATGTAACTATAAAACAGAGGTTCCCAAGCCTTGGGCCTCAGACTAGCACAAGTCCACAACCAGCCAGGATCTGGGCCACGCAAGTGAGCAAAGCCCCATCTGTGCATGTGTGGGATTCAGGCAGAGTACAAAATCATGGCCTCCCCATTTGTGGAAGAAAAACACCCTCCGTGGTTCCTGGCATCCAAAAGGTCAGGGGGCTGCTGCTACAAAACATTAAAACAGTAAATAAGGATGTTAAATTTAAAATTCAATTAAAATAAAACCAAATAATGAAAAAAGAGGGAAGCAAATACACACGGTAAAAATTCCCCTCGCACATATGTGCTAGTCATTCCTGACTCTAGGGAGGGTGCTCATCTCCATTTCAAAGCCGAAGAGCCAGCGCTGTCCGGATATGTCTCCGTGGTCATGTGGCCAGCATGGCTAAATGCCGAAGGCGCACAGAACGCTGTTACCTTCCCACCAAAGTGGTCCTTATTTTTCTACTTGTATTTTTACATTCTTTCGAACTGCTAGGTTGGCAGGAGCTGGGACAAGTAAAGGGAACTCACTCCATTACACGGCGCTAGGATTCGAGCTGCAGAACTGCCGACCTTTCTGATTGACAAGTTCAGCCACTGAGTCCCTCATCTACTCCATTAGCCACCCCCAAAATGTTACAGGATCCCAGGCTTCTTGGCACAGTCATGTCTTCAAGGCTTTTCAGAGGCCAAAAAAAGCCCCCCCCCCCCAAAAAAAAATAGAAAGCATTTTTAAATTTAGACATTCTACATTTTATTTGTTCTGTGATTATTGGTTAGGGAGTAGCTCCAAAGCTAATCATACAGAGGGATTTTCCTGGATGATGTTATAAAACTTAGTAAATGACTAAAAGTTACACATCAGGTTAAACCATGCAGAAAGGTAATCCAGGTGACATCAATATTTTGGAAGTCTTTCAGAATCATCCCAAATATTATTTAGATGAACATGTAGAGCCGAGGTGGCACAGTGGTTAAATGCAGCACTGCAGGCTACTTCAGCTGACTGCAGTTCTGCAGTTCGGCTGTTCAAATCTCACCGGCTCAGGGTTGACTCAGCCTTCCATCCTTCCGAGGTGGGTAAAATGAGGACCCGGATTGTTGTTGGGGGCAATATGCTGACTCTGTAAACCGCTTAGAGAGGGCTGAAAGCCCTATGAAGCGGTATATAAGTCTAACTGCTATTGCTATTGCTATGTGCATGAATGCTGGAGTGATGGTGAATAAATCCTGAATGCAGTTTCAATCTTCAGTGCTGTCAGCCCACCACTGCTAATTTGAAAAGCAGCATTTGCTTTTGTAATAGTTTTTATTATAGACCAAATAAGATTAGATGCTTACTATATTGGTTCAACCACAGTGTGTTTTCTTAATTTAATATGTTCTGTTTCCTCCTGGCCTGTATCTTGGAGAAAACTGATGCCAGGAAGCTGGCCTATAACTAACCTTTCTCCAGCAGTCTTGTTTGGTGTACCGCATTCAGAATTCATGGAGGACATTGAAATAATGGACATCTGACGATACGATCTCAGCATAGATTTTGGTCGGCCTAACCGTCTGTCATCAAAATCCGGCTTAGAGAGGGGGAGAAAATGAAAAAGGTTGAGTACAGCAAAACTGATTATTGCTTTTCACTGGCTTGCTGGGGGTAGGCGGGAAAATGCAATAGTCAGAGATAGATACATTGACTTTTATTTTGCTTTTGTTTGACCTAGGGTGTTTTGACATCTATAATGTGTGGCCAAAACCTGCCATCCAATTTCCCGGAAGTTTTTTCCCCCTCTCCTATTAAAACCAAGCATTCAAGTATGCTTTAAAAATTCTTCTTCTGTTTCAATTTTTTTCTACTATTGTCATATAGTAATATAATATGATATATATATTGAGATGAAAGGAATGGCATTAGAAACTTCAGCAACGGTACCATGTCCTACCTACAACAGACATATTTTATTTAGTTATTTATTAAACCTCTATGCTACCCATCTTGCCAAAATGACTAGGTCACTTAGACTCATTCAATAAAAAGACCATATAAAACATTAAAACAATAAATAAAGACCATACATTTAAAATTCAGTTTCCCAGTCAGCCAGATATTTAGACTGGATTTGGCAATTTTCCTTCCCAAGGACTGGGAATAAGCAGATGTTTCTGTGTGATGGTGTAAAAGGAATCATTGATATAAGTTGTTCTCCCCCTGCTTGTTTTGGAAAAGTGGAAGGAATGTGTGTTTGTGTGTGCATGCATATGCACACATGTGCATTTGTGTGTGATAAGAATAGTTTAAAAAAAAGAAATCAGAGACATAACAGTACAAATAAAGCATACATGTGTTCACAGAAAATAACAACAGAAATCATTTGCTGAACAACATGGAACCCAAGGTGATCCTGTAATATGAAAATAAGCAAAGACATCCCTAAACTGTTGTTTCATAATGAGATGCTCTTAGTTAATCCTATTATTTCTGAAAAGTGAATTAGATAGCAAATACAAGTTTGTTTGTTTGTTTGTTTGTTTTGTTTGGTAGTATATAACAAACACGTACTGTAAGTAATTTGATATTGGCTGAGACATTTTTCCATCGTTCTAACCATTAGGTTGAAAAAATGTGGCTAGTACAAATTGTGCCAGATGTTGATATGAAATTAAGTTTCCAGGGTTACTCAGTATTTATCTTTTCTGACATGCTACATATATTAGTTGTCTTTTTTAAAAAAGGGAAGCTATCACTGAATTACAATTTGAGCATAGATTAACCATTTTTGTTAGATACCAGAAACATTGGTAATGGTTTACACCAAGGTCCTCTGTTCCGGCGGGAACAGAGATTCAATCTGATTGGTTGAAGGGTCTGACAGCTCCCTTTAAAAGGGCTGCTGTCAGACTGAACCTTCACTGGATTGTACATAATTGACTTGTGCTAATAAAGAGTTGTTTGTTTCTCTGAAGCCTGAGTGTGCCTTCATTCACCCGATTTAACAATTTTATTTCTAGAAGTTCTGCTTTCTTACATATTAATATTTGGATGAAGTTACCCCCTCTTCCCCTGGCTCTCTCAACATCTCTGTCTCTCTCTGTCTCTCTGTCTCTGTCTCTGTCTCTGTCTCTGTCTCTGTCTCTCTCTCTCTCTCTCTCTGTGTGTGTGTGTGTGTGTGTGTGTGTTGGAAAACCTGCCACTTCCCTATTTTAAAACCTGAAAATTTATCCTTAAAATATTGCAGGTTTATTGCAATGTTCATATGAAAATTGCCCTATAATCTCCTACTTCAGACTCCATTCTCACTTTGACTCATTGCCCTCAATCCTGGCAAGAAATGCAGGAAAGTCATTCAGGGTTTCCATCATTATTTTCAAATACAATGTAAATTTTATTTGCAGTGGGAATTGCTTCTGAATCTTTGGATCCCAAATGTAGGAGGAAGACAAAATCAATCCAGCTGCCTTTCACAGGGAAGGGCATACACCAGAGACCCCAAGAAAAATGATAAAACCAGAGGAATTTGACTGGTCATATTAAGTGGTTTTCATATGCACCGGCTGATCCATTAAATACTGTCATCCCTAGAGTTTATTAATTTATGAGAAACTTCTTCCCAAGTGAGGTAATTTATTTTTTCCTATCTGTCTAAAAGTGATGATTTTTCATTCATGTACTATGATAACAGGTAGAAAATTTCAGTCCAAGCTAGAGTCTAGGAAGTACTTAAATTGAAATGACTTCTATATATTTAAAAAAGACACATTAGCCATGATTTCTCCATGTTACAATACTGAAATCCTTCTGCTGGTCTCTATCTGCTTTAATCAAACTGTAATACATTATCAGATTCTGGATATGTTCCCATGGTTTATGGCTGACCAGATTAAATTAATTTTCCAGTATGATATATTCATCCCCTTATGATTCACTTATACCAAGTTTTAGGTGGTGCCTAAAGTGCTAGATAGCATCTGATGCTTTCAAAAACAGCCTCTATAATGTAACTGACCAAATCCACGTTAAAATCATACAGAAGGGCTAAAAAAAAGTCTAAATGGTCAACAGTCATGAAATTTTGCGCACAAATTCAATATCCTTGTAAAGATCTACTTCTGAATTTGAATTTTTAAAAATTAATTTGATGGTCCCACACAAGAATTTAAGATGAGAATGCAAATGTCTCGCAAGATTTTAGGTAGACTAGGATGCATTTGACCTACGATGCCTTGGATCTAACACAATTGCCAACCTCCAATTTAAGACATCTCTATTCCAGCTCATAGTCAAAGATTACACATATGAGTTCAACTGAACTGAAAAGGACATAACCTATTCAGCATAGATAACCCAATTACGTACTTAGCAAATTACTTGTTTTTTATAACAAATAAGAACCTAAGATACAGAACTGAAAGATAATCTAATACAATGTGTACATATAATGGTCTATAATTTGCATTTGTTAGAAGTTAGGTCTATGCCTTCCCCCACAAAGGAGGTTTAAGGTTCACTAATTAGAAACATTTTGTCAATCTTCATATCCTGAAGCCTGTAAGCCTTAATATACAACTTTCCTTCTGGTTCTTGGTGATGTCAAACACTTCACCTGATTATTTAGCTATTTACCCAGATGTGCTCCAAGAACTGTGACAATCACAGGGTTGCTAATTCTACTTTGCAGATTTTGCATACTGCTATTTTAACATCATATTTATATTTTATTATACTAAATTATATGTTGTTTCAGAAATAGAGTCATCAAACAGTTGGAATTCTTCAGGAAAAAAAAGAGTGGAGTATTCATGGTTATTCATTGTTATTCAAAACTGTTAGCCATTAAAATTAGGCCAATGGTTTAAGAGAATGAGTTCATAAGGTTTGTTTCTGCTTTCCTAATAAAATGGGGAATATAAGTACATTTGAACAGTTATGGAAGTTTCTTAGCAATGTACGAGATAAAATCTATTGCAGGGGTGTCAAACTGGATTTCTTCAAGAGCCAGATTAATATCATAGGGCTGATGGGGGGGGGAAGTGGGGAGGGGAGAGATGAGATGGACACATCCTGCAGCACTCTGCCAGCCAAAAAAAAAAAGACTGTGTGGAGACCCCCGCATGGCCCATTTTGGCTGGCAGAGGTACTGCAGGCTGGTCCTTTGATATTTCAAAGCTAGCCCAATGGGCCAGATTTAAGAACCCCATGGGCCAGCCCACAGGCCTTGAATTCATCATCCCTGGTCTGTTGTTTGAAACAGGAAGTAAAGTGATATTTAAATCACAAAGAGACAGTTGTAATGCTACTACACCACAGGCCAAATTTCATGATTTTTTTCTTGTTGAGATAAAATATAATTTAAAAAATTATAGAATTAAAAGAATAAAACTTACCAATTCTCTGACTCCATATTGTTTTTCTACTTTAACCTTTAAGTGCCTGAAACATTCCTCCATACGTTCATGGAAAGGACGAAGGCTATCTGATACTCTTCTTTCATGAATCTTAATTCCAGCTGCAAGAAATGGAACCTAAAAAGCAATAAAAAAAATTCAGTCAGGCTATTCCATATTCCCCATGTCTCCAGAACATGTTGAACCGACTGCGGTTATAAAATGTGATTTGTAATATATTTGCCAGCTGACATTTTTTTTCTTTCCTTTCAAACAGGTAGCAGTACATCTTACTATGAATTGCAAGAAAATAATTACAGAATAGTGAAGTACAACCTTCCTGGAAAAATATGATTGTACTTTTTTTTGTTTCCTGGGCATAATGATATGCAATAAAGGTGTAAATGGATGGATAATTTATGATGCTTCATATATTCTTGAGATGAAGAGTGACAAAAAATACATCATGTCTTCAGAATCTAGACCAGGCCAGATTAGTATGATTGGTGAAATGTACTATAAGGCAACAACCATGAATGTATGCCAAGAGTACAGCATATATTTCCAGAAGAATCATTCAGGATCTGAAGGTCATCCCAGTTATGCTACCAATCACCTATATTGAGTAGCAGCAGTATATGAAGATGTTAGAGACGGATGATATCTTTAGTGACTATTGTGTGAAAGAAGATTAATGGTATATTTCCTGTATTTTACCAAATTCTCACATAAATTATAATAAGTGATTGGTAATATAGTGATAGATAAGGGTCCTCATGTCAGATACCATTCAATTTGTCACAGATAAAAATCTGAGAATCTTCCAAAATAATAATAGTCATTATGATATGGCTAGATTAGAGCTGGAAAGACTGACTTCAAAACAACACTCTCTCCTTATTTATTCAATGTCTTATATGTTGAATTGAGAGAGGCTGGCTTGCAAGAAGATGAGTAGGCTTTTAAAGTTGGAGGAAGAAACATCAATAACCTACACCATGCTGATGACACTAACTCTGATAGTTGAAAATGCAAATGATTTGCAAGCTCTTGTAATGTAAGTCAAGAAGTAATGAGAAGAAATGGGATTAAGATTCAATATATATATGACTAAATAAATGATAACAGGTACAGCAAACAACTTTAGAATCTATAATGTAAATATGTAAGTGGGGAATAATTTCTGCCTTTTAGAATCAGCTAACAACAATACTCAAATACTTTGGCCACCTAATGAGAAGGAAGGAATCACTGGAGAAGAGCCTAATGCTGGGAAAGATTGAGGGCAAAAGAAGAAGGGGACGACATAGAATGAGGTGGCTGGATGGAGTCACTGAAGTAGTTGGCATGAGCTTAAATGGACTCTGGGGAATGGTAGAGGACAGGAAAGCTTAGAGGAACATTGTCCATGGGATTGTGATGGGTCAGATATGACTTTGCAACTAACAACAACAATAATACATGAAGGAAACAACACTCATGAAATATGTTGCATACTGTCAGTTGACAGAGTAGCAGTGAAAGACTTGGAAAAGTATTTAGATATTATGTATCTATACCGACAAATATTAGAACCGTGCAGGCAATGTTTTTCCCTGTGGCACTCTAGGGAAGTAAAAATTGTACTTTGAACAAACAAGCTAGGAAGAATATTAGCACTTTTGAGCTCTGGTGTAGAGATGACTCTTGAGAATACTATAGGTAGCTAAGAAAACAAATAAATTATACAATGAATCAATCCAGACTTGTCAAGTGAGACACAAAATAACCAGGCACAAAATAACTAGATTTTTCACATTTTGGACAAAGTATGTAATGACCTAGTTCTCTTGAGAAATCCATATGCTGGAAGAAGAATCTGGGAGAAAGGAGTAGATTTCTAACAACTAGGACTTAATTAGAGCAGTGATGGATGCACCTTTGGAAAACATGAAGAATCAGATTGGAGACAGGTTTATCTGTGTTACTACTAAGCATCAACAGAAACTTGGTGGAGCATATTGATAATCATTCAATCAGCAATCAGAATGATAGCTATGTCCTCTAAACTCATGGGTAATAATAGACTATGGTCTTAGGCCTACACACAGTTCACAAGAGTTTAGAGCTCTTGTCAGTTGTCAAAAATCAGTGATATGCATTTCTCATCATTTTGAGGCACACCATTTTGCAATAGTAAATAGTCATACTAAAATTGTGAAGCGGCTACACATTACCCAGATTTTACAAAAGCCAGAGAATTTCCATCTGTGCTCATTTATACCTTCCAATATTATGAATTGCTTTGTCTCCTGCTTTCAAGGAACTGGTATAATGCTGATGTTTCCCCTGTTCTATCCAGAAAGACTGTGAATTTTCATGTTTCTCGTGTAATTCCTCTTTTGGTACATGAAAAATGAGACTACACTAATGAACAGATCTATTTTTGTGCTTAGAGGTTGACTGCACTTGACTCAGAATTATTAAAACAAGTTGAAGTTCTAGCTTTCTAATATTCTAAATTACGTTGGACACCACCATTAACAGGAATGTCTTCTGAATACAATCGAGATATAGGGTGTGAAGATGTCACAGAAGACCATGGTGCTATTATGCACCAAAGGTATGGGGAGGTTTATGAAAACAACAATGGAGATGATATAAAATATATCCAAACACGTAAATGAAGGACTTGCTTAATAACACCAAGAATAAACATTTGTTTGCATGTATTATTAGTTCCTATTTCCACAGCAAACAGTAGCTATTTCTACTGATTCAAATGTCAGTAGAAGACGGAAGATACTGACAATGGTGGGTGACTTACCCAGAAACAAACTAGAAGCAAAAAATAGATTAGTCTCTTCTGGGAAAAAAAATAAAGCATTACCATTTTGCTACATCCCTCATAAAGTTGCTACATTTGGTATTTTAGCAAGAACATAAAAATAGAAGTGATATTTTCAGGAGTTCAGAGTGTTAATAGGTTGTTTTTATCCTGGTGAAACTGTTAATAGCAGAGAATTAAACATCATTCAAAACCTATGCAAAAATCATTGTTTTCTCTTGGTTCCTCTTTATCTGAAAGCAACAGAAATACTGTGATGTCAGTTTTTTTCCCCTTTCTTCTTAACATTGCATAAGCATTTCTAGAGAGTAGATAGTCAACTTAATCACCATGGGATTCCTGATGTTTTTGTTCAGGAAAGGAGGCTCATTAAATGTAGATGAAAAACTTTTTACAACATACTTTTATGTGATATTTCCAGTCACATTTCAGACAAGTATTCCTCTTCAAACAAACAAACAAAGGAAAACAGAAGGAAAATATGCATGCATTATATATATTGTTGTGCTTCCCCTATGGAAATGAGATCAATCAGCAAAAGAAAGTGGAGAAATTAATAATATTTATTTTTTTAAAAATAAAAGAATTGTGCAGAGCATCTCAATACCTGCCAAGCAATCAGGTCTTTGAGTCGGTTTAGTTTCTCCTGATCCTGTGGGTGATGCCTAGCATACTCATCTGTGAAGAAAGCCTGCAAGCAGAAAGGAAGTTGCTCAGTTTTTCATCTGAACGTGATATTCATGGTTTGTGCTGAAGATATAATATACTGGATGATCATTTCATTTTAAATACAATAACTAAATTTCTTACCTTTTCGTACTTAGCAAACCCTCCCATGACTGCTGGATCAACAATTCCATTCAGAAGCATGGACAGAGGGTTAATGTGAAGGTTCTCATCACTTTGATACTGATTGATCATCGTCAGAATCTTCTCATTTGTCATGGACATTGTTTCAATGGCATTCTCCAAGGGACTAATTGTAGTCTATGGAGGAAGGAACAAGATCATCATCATCAGTCCCATCTGCAACTTTAAGAACCCTGGTGGAACAATGGTTAGAATCAGGGGTGGGTTGCTGTGGGTTTGCATGGGTTCGGGCAATCCTCTAGCTAAGGACTTGC